ACACACACACACACACACACACACACACACACACTGTGATACACACACAGTAAGCCTGGCTTTCTGCACTGGGTCCCCAGCACAGCGTCCAACACGCAGCTGTGGGGACACAGCTTTGTGCTGAAGAGCTGACCGCACGACCCTCCTGCATCCCACTGAGCCTCCAGCCCCCAATGGGCACACCTTCCTCTCCCGGGGTCCCCATCTGCTCTGTGCCCTTTGCCCGCTGATCACCAGCCCTCACCCTACCCTCCCACCTCCTTCCTAGTCATCTAGCCCATCACTGTGCCCCATGGGAGGCGGTCTGCATTGTGTCCCCCGCCCCCCAATCCTGCCTGACTTTCATGGTCCCCAGGACCAGGCCCTGCCCACCTTATAACCCCAGTCCCAGAATCACCCTGCATGAAGACCACCCTGTGCAAAGGTCCCTGGGTTAAACACTTGTCAAACCCGGCTCTAGAAAACCACACCAATGATGTAAACACAACAGCTTCTCCCCTCTACCCAAGGGCCCCCCAGGCACTGTGTCACCCTGGGTCCTCAGTCAGCCCGCCCCTGCCGCCCTCCAGAAACCCAGCTCTTGACCTCCAGGCAGCTCAGAGGCCCAGCAGGGGAGCTCCCTGGAGCCGGGTGCCCGTACCTGCCGGAGGAGGGCACAGTTGACGCTGGGGGATCGCAGGGAGGCCCAGGAGCCCTGCAGTGCAATCTTGGGGAGAGTCCCGGGGCAGGTGGTCTTCTCCTGCCCCTTCTGGCCTGAGGACACAGCTGGGTGGAAGAACTCTGCAGGCATCGGCAGGAGAGGGCTGGAGTCATCCGGGGAGAAGGAGCTCGGGGGCGCTGCTGGAGGGGAGGAGAGGTGGGCTAGGGGAGCCTGTTCAGGCTGGAGGCCGGCTCCTGGAGGCAGAGGTGGACAGCAGAACCCTGACTGGCTTCTTGCCCAGAGGCAAGCTTCCCTCTCAGCCGGTTTCCCATGGGAGAGAAGTATCGGGCCTGCCTGTGTGCATTCCCATGTGGGAGCCAAGCTGACCTAGGCTCAAGTCTTGGTCCCTCAGTTTCCTCCTCTGTAAAATGGGGGCAAAAGTGCCTCCCCCAGGGGGACAGAGTGGGATGCAAGGATAAGAAGCAATATCCTGAACCCCTGAAGTCTTCCTGAAACCAAGTAAAACCAACCAGCAGTCAATTCCGACCCTACGGACAGGGCAGCAAAGCCCCTTAGTGTTTCTGAGACTATAAATCTTTACAGAAGCAGACAGACGGATCATTCTCCCAAGGAGCAGCTGGCAGCCTTGAACCACCAACCTCATGGTTAGCAGCCCAAGTGCTTAGCTCACAATGCCACTTGGGTGTCCAGCTTACTGAGGGAAGACTGTCCGTCTGGAACATTGCAACTTTGGAGGATCTCTCTCTATGGGATCAGGTTGGCAATGGGCAACTAGAAGGGTTAGATGGGATCCTTAGGCTAAGGGCAGAGTGTCCATGTGGGTTCATCGGGGAGGAACAACTCAGAAACGAGGTTGTGAAAATGGCCGCACAACTCCTGAGGAAGGTCACCGGCCTCCCGGAAGTGTCCGCGGCCGCACGCACGGGCTC